ACGGCTTCCCCCAGGATATGGTCTCAGATAGAGGTTCTCAGTTCACCTCCCGGTTCTGGAAGGCTTTTGGCCGTCTCATTGGGTCTAACATTAGCTTGTCATCTGGCTTTCACCCCCAGTCTAATGGGCAGACAGAGAGAGTGAATCAGGATATAGAGAAGACTTTGAGATGCTTGGCAGCAGACAATCAGACCACTTGGAGCTCTCGTTTAATCTGGGCAGAGTTTGCACATAATACTCTCTACCATTCATCCCTAGGCATGGCCCCTTTCGAGTGCCAATATGGCTTCCCTCCTCTTTTGTTCCCTGGACAGGAACCGGAGATATGTGTTCCCGCTGCTGCTCAACTCGTTCGCCGTTGTCGACGGACTTGTCAAAAGGCCCGGGCAGCTTTACTGAAAGCCACTCAACAACAGCGGAGGCAGGCAAACCGGCACAGGAGGTTGGGACCAATTCAATGGACAACCAGCTTACACTGTACGCAGGCTGGTGGATTCTCGTCAGGTCCGTGGAAAGGTACAGTATTTGGTCGACTGGGAAGGTTATGGCCCGGAGGAGCGCTCATGGGTGTCCGCTCGAGACATTCTGGACCCGACACTCATTACATCTTTTCACCATACCCAAAGACTCTATCAAGGGAACGTCAGGAGCCGAATAGTATTAAGCCTCAAATGTCAACTATACATCGGATTGGTTTCTTCTTTAAATTATAAAAAAAGTAAAAAATATGAATTGTATTATAATGTTATACTAAAACTAAAATTAGAAAAAAAGAAAAAAGAAAGAAAGAAAAAAAAGCATCTTAAGCACACAGCATAACATTTGAATGATTAATTGCCGCTTTGAACGATTACGTAATTGTGGCATCCATACTTGTAATCGCGATTAGAAATTCGATTAATTGTGCAGCCCTAATGTCTGGGTCTCTGCATTTGACACTAAGCGTGACACATAGAGAGAGGTATATCTGAAGCAAAGGTTTCTGAGCGATGCTCCAGAATGCATTTCGCCGCTAAAATTATCCCCCCACACCGCTGACTTGATTACAGGCGTGAATGTGGCAGGCCGTCCTCGGGGCTTCAGTGTTTATGAGCTCTCTTCACCTGTAAGAGCAGAATGGCTTTGAACGTGAGGATGTACATCCCAGAGAGACGCCGCAGCAGGTCGTCCTGCGATCACTACAAATCGGTAAGACCTCTCTGCTGTGGAGAGAAGGCTATTCCTGCTAATATCTGTAGGCGAGCAGCGGGAGGGTATATTTAGACTCATGCAGCAGGTATAGATATGGTCCAGACTTACTGCGCTATTTACCGCAAGCTGAGCTGAAGCTCTTTTGAGATGTTTGTGTGTTGATTGAGGTTTAGATTGGCTTTATGTTTAGGACTATAGAGATTGCACCTTCACGCAGGTCAGCTACATGTAAAAAGCAACAAATGGCAAAAGTTTATTCACTTATTTAAGACTGGTCATATTTCAGTAATGTTCTGTATCATTTCAGTGGCATAATATTTGCATATTTCTACTTCTTTACTTCTTATATTTCTGGTCTCACAGATGAATGTTATTCCAAAGTGAAACAAATGATCGTCTTTAAAATCTTCAAGTAAATCCTCAAGTTAAACGACAATGAAAAAATCAACAATGCATTGTATTTTACAGATGAAAGTAATTTTAGAGGCCAGAGGTAGAAATCACTCTATCAAGTGCAGAGACATTGACTACTTGTGTCTCTTGAATTGTTTATAATTGAGCTCATTTATTTATTTATTTAAAATGCTCTCTAGAATATTTTGAGGTTAAAGAATTTTGCTGAATAGTTAAACTATATTCAAAAGTTACTCATCTATCTATCTATCTATCTATCTATCTATCTATCTATCTATCCTATTCTGTCAGCATTTACTGGGAAAAATACTATGGAAGTTAATGGGGACCAGAAACTGTTTGGTTACCCACATTTTTAAAAACATCTTTTATGTTCAGCAGAAGGAAAAAAAAAAATAAAACAAATGAGTGTGAGTAAATGATGACGGAATTTTAATTTTTGGTGAACTATCTCTTAAATGTTGTTCTTGCTGAAAAATGATCAATTTCTTAAAAATAAAATTTAAAAAAGTTAGTCTACAAGTTAAATTATTGCAAACCAGCCTGAATATGCATGGAAATGCATGCTTGTCTAAGCTGTTAGCAGGGCAGTTATCTGACCTCACATTCACCTCAGTAAATAATCTTTTGTAATTACCTTAATACCGTATTATTTAAAACCTCTCTCATGAACCTGAATGGATGTTCTGTAGCTTCTGCCTGTGGGAACAATTCTGTGTCTGTGACTAACACAAACAGCCCTGTGATTAGTGTTTGACATGAGAGTCTTTGTAGTTGAACAGTGTTCTACCTCCCCGCTTTGAGCTTAAAGATGAGTCCAAGTGACAGCTGTTGCTAAATTGTTGAAAGTTACCACACTCAGGAACTGCCGTTTGATATTCCCCGTCTTACTCACACAGGTAGTTAAACACACTCATCAGCAAATGCGTGTAAGAGCCACCTGTTCAGTTCTCCAGAGTTGTTCAGTGACAGATCAGCCCTAAAGGCATGTCTGAACTCAGAGAACAGCTCATGCTCGGGTCAAGAGTGGACTGTACAAAGCCACGAGCTCAGAAGAGTGCAGAAATACTAGATGCTGGTTTGACATCCACACAACAAAGCAGGATTTGTATGGGGCTGGATTTCTAAGTGCTGCTTTTGTGTGTGAGAGAGATGAGGGATTGTCACAATATTCTTACAGCAGTGGGACTGAAGCATCATGCCTCAGTGACTCAGAATATAAAGGTCAGTATATTTCACAGCATAACTCATCATAAGTGCTGATTCAGATGGCATGTATGGATGCTTGTGAGTAATCAAGTGTTTGTTTGTTTTTTGCTTTAAAGGAAAATGTCCCATTGAACATGCTTTCATATAGATACATACACTACATTAACTTCATAAAGTCAGTTTTAGACATTAATTTACTGTCTACACATAAAGAAATACACAAAAAAGTTTGAAAGAAGGCTCTTATTCTCACCAAGGCTGCATTTATTTGATTAAAAATACAGTAAACACAGCAATATTGTGAAAAATATTACAGTGTAAAATAACTGTTTCCTATTTTTTTAATATATTTTAAAATGTAATTAATGCAAAGCTGAATTTTCAGCATCATTACTCCAGTCTTCAGTGTCACATGATCCTTCAGAAATCATTCTAATATGATGATTTGCTGCTCAAGAAGCATTTCTCATTATTATCAATGTTGAAAAGAGTTGTGCTGCTTAATATTTTTGTGGAAACTTTTTTCAAGATTGTTTAATGATTAGAAACTAAAAAAAACAGCATTTATTTTAAATAGAAATATTTTGTAACACTATGTAAATGTCTGTACTGTCACTTTTGATCAATTTAATGCATCCTTGCTGAATGAAAGTATTCAGTTCAACTTTTACAAAGAAAATGCATAGTATTGACAAATATATAAAAAAAGAATGATAAATATTCAAGAAAATCTGTTTAATAGTTAAATACTTTGTTGAACAAATACTTTTTAGCATACTTTTTAAACACTGTTTTAGTGTAATTCTACATACATGCCAAAATTGTATCAGCCAGTCCAACATTTAAAAAAAAAACAACACGAAAAAACCTTATTACGGCATTGTTACAAATGTTGATATGGTCGTATTGACTGAAAGGAATACTTAACAGATAAACTGAATGCAATGCATGTACTCAATTTGTATCTTGACCAACATTTTTTTATGACATTAATAGCTATTTTAGTGTTTACATGGTGGTGAGCAGGTTCAGTCTGACAGACAAGTGTCATCTGTAATGTCAAAAGATCTTTTGTTGCTTGAAGGCATGTTTACCCTTACCTTCACTTCACTGCCTTCACCTCACCTTTAATTACATCTGACTCATTTAACCCACAGACCTTCAAAGCATGAGCTGGATTTGTACATTTCTCCACTGACTTTGGTCATTGCTCTCCATAATTATATGGGCTTTGTGTGCTGTTTTATGTCTAGATGACTCCAGCGAGAGCGATCGAGGGGTAGCGTGTGATGTGTTTATTTTGATGGCACAGGGACTCGGGGTGCACCTGTTTTTCCCATCAAGAAAACTGATTCCTCATATGAGTAACACTGCAATAATACACTCAGGCTTTATTTACTCATCAAACACACAACACAAGCTCTTCAACCTCCATTGTGGGAATGAGTTTGACTACTGCTTGGCCATTGATTATGTGCATAAAGCCTGCAAAACATCAAACAAACAAAAAAACAAGACTTTTAATTCATGTTAATTGTGGTTTATGCAATGTTATAGCCTATATTGGCTATTATTTTATTTCAAATTGTGATACTAAAGTAAAATGGGAAAATATCATGGTATTTACATGTAAGTTCAAAGAATATCATGGTAATAAAAACTACAAAATAATAATAGCTACGTGTATAAAACAGCCATGGTCATGTTTGTTAATAAATGTACTTAAATGCTTGAATTAAGTTAAATATATGTTTTATGTAAGCTTTATTTTCCAAAATAACGTGACGGTTTTGGCATCTCCGTGGTTTTTAATGCTTGTTGCGCTGCTTGTTTACCGCTTTCCTTTACTTGTAAGGGGACGCGGGAATGTTTTTGGACAGACCCGCTCCAAACATGACTCCTTTCAAACCCATTCAGAGGTTTAATTTAAGCTCCCTCTGGGTCTCCCTCCTCCTGCCCCAGTGAAGGGGCTTTTCTGTGATGTCAGACGGGAGAATTTGAGCATTATTGGTGCTGAATAACTTGAATGAGGCACAATGGAGCGTATTTGAATAGAGAGTGGAGAGACGCGGCGCTCAGCCCTCGCGCAGTCGCGCTTGCATGAATGTCGTGAATCCTAGTTGTGTGAAACTTTTTTTGTTTGATGGATGGATATCTAAGCGAACTTTCTCCTTTCGTGTTGACAGATCTACACGGACTGGGCGAATCACTACTTGGCCAAATCGGGACACAAGCGGCTGATTAAAGACCTGCAACAGGATGTGAGCGACGGCGTGCTGCTGGCTGAGATCATCCAGGTTATCGGTGAGCGATTCACTCTCTCCAAAACAGACGTGAAGAGTCGATTGAAGATTTCTGTGCAAGGTGTACATGGGTCGTCCCATTTTGGTGTCTGCATCAAATTAAATGTACAAAAGCGATTTTATATACACAGAAAGCATATTAGATGCAAATAAAGTGTTTCAAATAACTTTTGCGAAACTAAAATGTCAAAATATGGGTGAAATAATTTTCCATCGTCATTCAGCATAGGCTAGCACATGTTGTCTACTTTAATGTTTCAAATAACTTTTGTGAAAATAAAATGTCGAAATATGGGTGAAATAATGTTCCATCACCATTCAGCATTACATATTTATGTAAAAATGAAACAACATACTTATTCTGACCTGTACTTATTAAAATACATTAAAGAAAATAAGTGATTATACAACATTTTATTGCATTTTAAATGATTAAAACTTCTTGCTGACAAATGGGTAAAGTGTTTGAAGGATAGTGGTAAGGATTGGTAGGCTAAAGATTTAAAATGACACTTTTTGGGGGCTGTACTGTGATAATTAAATAGAGGCTTTTAAATGTCCTAAATATGCCTGACAAGATTTTTTTGTTATACGAACTTTGTTTCACAGACGTTTTAGTGGGTGCCTTCTGTAAATCATGGTAAAATGTATGATAGTCATTATTTTTTTAGTCTGTTCCTGGCCTGGTTATACAAGATTTTATCCCCACTTCTGTAAGCATCCTCTTTGGCATGACAAAGGTTTTTGAGTTTCCCAGGAAACCACGGTTTATCATTATTGTATGATAAGAATGTCCTGGTGGGGATGCACATATCCTCACAGAAATTGATATATGAAGTTACAGTCTCTGTGAGCTCGTCCAGATCGGTGGCAGCAGCTTCAAAAACACTCCAATCAGTGAGGTCGAAACAGGCTTGTAAATCCCGCTCTGCTTCATTAGTCCATCTTTTAACAGTCCTTAAAACAGGTCTAGCTGTTTTCAGTTTCTGCCTGTAGGTTGGTATAAAATGAACCAAACAGTGATCAGAGAGCCCCAAAGCTGCTCGTGGGACAGAGTGATATGCATCCTTTATTG